CATCTCAGGTGGCTCCAGAGCCCGGAGGCGGCAGCACGTTTCTCGTGGCGTCGTTAGCAAATTCCCAGAAGCGTTAAACATGTTTTGAAGCACCCTGTCTATGCTACGAAGAAGGGTCATTGCCCGAAACGTCGGGCAATGACCCCCCCCTTCCTGTTTAAGGGCCATGCGGTGATTATTAACGAGCGCGCGTGGTGGTGTTGTGGGTGTGGCGGGAGGGGAGATGGAGGAGCGATACTGGAACGACGTTCGCTCAATCACGAGCAGCACGATGGGCAGAGGAGCCACGCCTAGCGACCAGGCCGTCTTTGTATCACTTCAGGTTATCTATTTATACCGGAGGAAGAATCCGATGTGCTATAAGCGCTCTTTTTTTCTCTCGCAGATGTCCAGTAAAGAGGCACGGGTTCAGAACGTTTACAACAATAAACAATACACACACCATGATAGCAGAGTGTAACGTATAGGAAAGGAAACGGAATCACTTTAAATATGTACACAAATAAAACGAAACTATAAATGTTTTACCCTTAAATTTCGATTTAAAGCTTTCGTGACTGCAAGGATTCATCTTCTTTGGTTCTTTCGGTAAAGTCACGTAGAATGAGAATAAAATAATAAATTGATAAAATAAAATAACACAATAAAATTCTCTCGACGCTTCGGCCACAACACAAGCGGCCTTCATCAGGTGAAGGGACGAGACTGTCTGGAGGACAGCGCTGTGTTGTGGCCGAAACGTCGTGAGAATTTTATTGTGTTATTTTATTTTATCAATTTATTATTTTATTCTCATTCTACGTGACTTTACCGAAAGAACCAAAGAAGATGTTTTACCCTTACCAGGCAAAACCCACTTAGCTAATTAGCTTTTTCAAAAGCGACCTGGCCACAAATGATAGCTCAACCAAGTAGCTCATCATCATCATCATCACGTGGACATTTATAGCAGCAACAAAAATCTAAAAGAATCTAAAATAATCTAAACCAGCGTGCGTCACTAATTTTCAGAGAGGTGGGGGGGCGGTGGTGGGGGGGGGGCACTTTCGCCGACAAGACATCACCACCAGTGTGAGGATGGCCACCACGCATCCGAAACCATTGTTGGGTCTGGCAGCAGCACCACGATGACGACGATGGGGAGGGTGTCGTCACGTGTTGTGTGATTGTCAGGGGCCGCACTAAAGGCCGCCAGGGGCCCACGTGGGCCTTGCAAGGAAGACCACCGGGCCACATGCGTGATTTGTCGGTGGTATTGCCGAGGTACATTTGAGGCAGGGATCTCCAAACTGCAATCCTCGCGGCCCCATCACCACTACCACCACCACCACCATCACCACCACCACTACCACCACCATCACCACCACCATCACCACCACCACTACCACCACCACCATCACCACCACTACCACCACCATCACCACCACCATCACCACCACTACCACCACCATCACCACCACCATCACCACCACTACCACCACCATCACCACCACCACCATCACCACCATCACCACCACCATCACCACCACCACTACCACCACCACCATCACCACCATCACCACCACCACGACCACCACCACCATCACCACCACCATCACCACCACTACCACCACTACCACCACCACCACCATCACCACAACCATCACCACCACCACTACCACCACCATCACCACCACTACCACCACCATCACCACTACCACCACCACTACCACCACTACCACCACCACCATCACCACCATCACCACCACCACTACCACCACCACTACCACCACCACTACCACCACCACCAATGCGAATGATAAATGAACGCGTGCCACGCTGCTGCGAGCGCCCGATGATCGTTAAACAACGCAGCACGTGACGCGCTGGGCAATTTAACGCCCGATTCAAAGTAATAATGAGATCTCGGTGTATGCGTTCCACGTATGCGTGCACACGTGCTCCACGTGACGCAGGGGTGGTGAGGGAGGGAGGGGAGTTCATAGTCTTGCACTGTTGCTTCAACTGCCGCTCCGGGAGGTCCACTCGCACTGGCGATCTCTCTGGAATTTTTCCAGTCGACCATCCAACCATTGCACCACGGCAACATCTCCATGAATCAATCGTGGTTGTTATCATATGGATGTACTGACCCACCACCCTCCTGCCCGCCGTGAGAATGTGGAATTTCCACCTGGTAATGATGGCTTGTGGCAGTAGAAATTGACATTGACGATGATGATAGCTTGGGTTTCAGCTGGCGAACCGGGGTTGAACCGGAGTTCTTAAGTGGGGTGAGTTGATGGTCTCCAATATAATACAACTCGTGTAGTGACCAGTAGACTCTCAAAGACACTCATAGACTCACATAGAGACCCATAGACCTCTACAGAGACCTATGCACCTATAAGATCCATAGCCTCACGTAAAAATAAAAAAAATTCGCATAGAGACCCATATACTCACATAGAGACAAATAGACCGATACAAAGACCCACGCACCGACATAGATTCATAAACTCACATTGAAAGCCATAGACATATAGAGACCCATGCACCTACATAGAGACCCATAGACTCACAGAGACCTATCGTCTCACGTAGAGATCTATAGGCCGATACAGTGACCTGTCCATCTACATAGGGACCCATAGACTCGCATTGAGACCGATAGTCTCACGCCAACTGAGTTGGAATTCCAGCTCTGAGAATTAAAAGTGGCGACTATTCCGACCGCCGATTAGCACGTGTTGCGCTACGCACGGTGCGAAAGAAGTTCTACCAACATAAAAAAATGCAACAATATATATTAAAAAAGCATTCACTGACATGTCGTAGTCATAAATGAGTAGTAATGATCCATTTGTCGATCGAGTTGGGGGCTTGGAACGCAACCCCCCCTATTTACATTATTTATTATGGGAAATGAGCGTTCGATTAACGCGATTTTCACCTTCCACGAAGATGTTTCAAGGGCACATCTGCCGCGTTAATGGGGGACCACACCCAGCACATGGCGTTTGCACACCTGTCAACCCCTGATCAGTGCCCTACCTTATTACAGACCAATTCACACCTTGTTGGTCACCCCGTGCCCCTTATAAATCTCAACGTTCATCCTCGTCAGCAACGAACACACCGCGCGGCCTTGAAATGAAAACAACAACAATTATCTATATAATAGGCGACGTTTCGGGCTATGTGCCTTCTGCACGGCGCGCAAGAGAGGCCAGAGAGAGAGAGAGGTGGAGTACACGAGAAGCCCTGCGAAAGAACATCTCCGATGGACACATCTCCGATGGATTCTTTGTTCCATGACAATGCAGATACAGTGCCCCCCCCTCCCTCTCCCCGGAACAAATGGGCTTACGTCACCTCTGCAGGCACGAAGCTGCCCTATCATCGAAGAACAATGATGCACCCCCCCACCCCCCGTGTAGACTTAACGCAACCTTTGGGAGGGGAGGGGGCCAAGTGCTGTGAGCGAACACCCAACGAAGGCTGGCACCGTGCCACACGAGGGGGTGGGTGGTCAGCACCGCCTTTGTCTCCCCAGTGGCGATGTTCACACACGCGCGCTAGCTACACTGCACACCGGGCCAGGTAACCATTCGAGGCCGAGTCGACCTAGGCGAGGTCCAAGAGCGGTTCAGATCAAGGCCGTAGCCATGGAGTCAACATTGGAGGGGGGGGGACCAAATCTTCCAGGGTGTCTGGGGGTCCCAGCCCAGAAAAATATCTACATTTGAAACGTAATTTCCTGCCTAAAATATTAAATAATTCACTAACGCATGGGATGGACTTTTTATTTATGTTTTTCCAATAATGTCTAATAGTGTATATTGTATTACATTGCTCTGTTTTTACTTTTTTTACCATTTCTTGTTTCATTGTATGTAATGGCAGAGATTAGGGATTAATAAAGTATAACCATAACCACAATCATATAAACAGAAATCTATGCATTGATTTATATGAAGACAAGTTCAGATATTGTGGCCAAGGTTTAGCAAATTGTTGTTTTTATTTACATAGCATAGCAATTATTTTTAAACAGCAATATATTGGGGGGGGACATTTTGAGCATATTTGAATATTGGGGGGGTGGGTGTGTGTCCCCAATGTATATTATAATTACGGCCTTGGTTCAGATGATCGCCACGTGGCGTTTCGTGGCGTTAGTTGTACAGTACCGTATGTGTCTCCACACGTAAGTGCATGATTAGCAATGCGACACAAGGCGAGCCATCTGCTCCACCAGAGCGTCCTGCTGGGATTGCGAAATCGATCTTGCCGGAAGCCAGGCATGTGACCGATGCATCGACTGCAAGCCAACACTACTGGACCGGTTTTGACATTCAATGGCTCATCAGCTGTGCAGTCAGGCTTTGCTTCAACCAGTCCTGGTGAACTGTCCAGATGTTCGTAGGCAAGGGTTCGGTTTTGACATTCAGTGTCTCATCAGCTGTGCAGTCAGGCTTTGCTTCAACCAGTCCTGGTGAACTGTCCAGATGTTCGTTGGGATGGGCCGGTTTTGACTTTCAGTGTCTTATCAGCAAGAACCTTCTGTTAGTTTTGTGTCCTTGGTGCGACGTTGAATTATTTTGTAACATACGATACAGTTATTTAGTAATACACTATACAATTATATAGTAATTCACGATATAATAACCGCTGTCGTTATGGAGAATAGTAATAACGAAATGGATAAGCATTATACAGTACAGCAGTGTAATACTTTAAATGTAATCTACAAAATCGATTTAAGAATCGATTTTCAACTTTAAACCGATAAAAGGTGTGTGCCCTGCAGACCTCCATAGATAGGTGGTGCTATTCGCTAGCAGCACTTGCCCCAGAGCGCCTGTTGGAGGCTGTACGGGGGACCTTTGTCTTGGTTACGGGCGCGCACACCACGCTGCTGTGCACGCAGCGCTGGCATCAATAGGTGCTCGCTAACACTGCCCCGCTTGTGTTGTGCCTCTGTGGTTGTGTGTTGTGTGTGTGTGTGTTGTGTGCAGGGAAAGCCGTATATATTTGACCGCGTGTTTCCACCCAACACCACTCAGGAGCAGGTGTACAATGCGTGTGCACGGCAGATCGTGAAAGGTGCGCGTGCATACACACACATACACACATATATACACACACATATATACACACACATACACGCGCACACACACACACGTGCACACACAGATACACGCGCACAAAAGATAAAGATCCCCCGTATAGCCTTAACAGACTGTAGGGGCAAGTGCTGTTAGCGAGCACCTATGAAGGCCGGAACGGTACACGAGGGGGTAGGTGGCCAGCACCACGCCCGACCGCCTTTGTCTCCCTAGTGGCGATGTTTACACACCGCACCAGGTACTCATTTGAGGCTGAGTCGACCTAGGGGAGGCCCGGGACCGGTTCAGATAATCGTCACTGGTGTTGGCCATGAGCGGGAATCGAACCCGGGTCGCCAGGTTCATAGCGCAGCGTAGCGCTAACCGCTATACTATCACTCCCCAAACATACACACGCGCGCACACACGTGCATACACATGCACGCATACACGCGCCCAGTGGGCATGGAACGTTGGGCAAACGTTGGACCAACGTTGTGGTCAATGTTGGGTTAACGTTGAGTTCAACCACATGCCAACGTTGGACCGACGTTGCCTCAACGTTGGACCAACGTTGGGTCAAAGTTCAACCAACGTTGGGTCAACGTTAGACCAACGTTGGGTCAAAGTTCAACCAACGTTGAGTCAACGTTGGACCAACGTTAGGTCAAAGTTCAACCAATGTAGGGTCAACGTTGAGTTCAACCACATGCCAACGTTGGACCGACGTTGCCTCAACGTTGGACCAACGTTGGATCAAAGTTCAACCAACGTTGGATCAACGTTGCACCAACGTTGGGTCAAAGTTGGTGCAACGTTGGGTCAACGTTGGAATGTTCACTGGGTGCCCAATACACCTGAACACGCATGCACACACTACCGCACGCGTAGGTGTGTGTACACAGACACACACACTCATGTACACTCACCCACATGTACACGTGTGGATGTACACTCACCCACATGTACACGCGTGAATGTACACTCACCCACGTGTACACGTACCTACAACAGCATTCGCCACCAATCGGTGGTGACGTCGCCCGCAACGCCCGTGCCAGGCTAGGTGCACTTTAACCTCTGTGGGTGAATGGGACAGGCCCTGACAGGCGTGTGTCTGCCTGTGGCTCTTTGTCTATGTTCTTCATTGTCCGTGTCTCTGCTTGCCTGTCCCACGTTGTCTCGTCGTGTCTTTTGTCTCTCTGTCAGTCTCTTTGTCGGTTTCACTGCGTGTCCGTCTGCTGGTCTCTGTCTCTCACCACGTGCCTCGTGCTCATTGTCTCTGTCTCTCACCACGTGTCTCGTGTCCATTGTCTCTGTCTCTCACCACGTGTCTCGTGTCCATTGTCTCTGTCTCTCACCACGTGTCTCGTGTCCATTGTCTCTGTCTCTCACCACGTGTCTCGTTCTCGTGTCCATTGTCTCTGTCTCTCACCACGTGTCTCGTGTCCATTGTCTCTGTATCTCACCACGTGTCTCGTGCTCATTGTCTCTGTCTCTCACCACGTGTCTCGTGTCCATTGTCTCTGTCTCTCACCACGTGTCTCGTCCTCGTGTTCATTGTCTCTGTCTCTCACCACGTGTCTCGTGCTCATTGTCTCTGTCTCTCACCACGTGTCTCGTGCCTATTGTCTCTGTCTCTCACCACGTGTCTCGTGTCCATTGTCTCTGTCTCTCACCACGTGTCTCGTGCTCATTGTCTCTGTCTCTCACCACGTGTCTCGTGTCCATTGTCTCTGTCTCTCACCACGTGTCTCGTCCTCGTGCCTATTGTCTCTGTCTCTCACCACGTGTCTCGTGCTCATTGTCTCTGTCTCTCACCACGTGTCTCGTGTCCATTGTCTCTGTCTCTCACCACGTGTCTCGTGGCCATTGTCTCTGTCTCTCACTACGTGTCTCGTGGCCATTGTCTCTGTCTCTCACCACGTGTCTCGTGCCTATTGTCTCTGTCTCTCACCACGTGTCTCGTGCTCATTGTCTCTGTCTCTCACCACGTGTCTCGTGCTCATTGTCTCTGTCTCTCACCACGTGTCTCGTGGCCATTGTCTCTGTCTCTCACTACGTGTCTCGTGGCCATTGTCTCTGTCTCTCACCACGTGTCTCGTGTCCATTGTCTCTGTCTCTCACCACGTGTCTCGTGCTCATTGTCTCTGTCTCTCACCACGTGTCTCGTCCTCGTGTCCATTGTCTCTGTCTCTCACCACGTGTCTCGTGTCTATTGTCTCTGTCTCTCACCACGTGTCTCGTGGCCATTGTCTCTGTCTCTCACCACGTGTCTCGTGGCCATTGTCTCTGTCTCTCACCACGTGTCTCGTCCTCGTGCTCATTGTCTCTGTCTCTCACCACGTGTCTCGTCCTCGTGTCCATTGTCTCTGTCTCTCACCACGTGTCTCGTGTCTATTGTCTCTGTCTCTCACCACGTGTCTCGTGTCTATTGTCTCTGTCTCTCACCACGTGTCTCGTGGCCATTGTCTCTGTCTCTCACCACGTGTCTCGTGGCCATTGTCTCTGTCTCTCACCACGTGTCTCGTCCTCGTGCTCATTGTCTCTGTCTCTCACCACGTGTCTCGTCCTCGTGCCTATTGTCTCTGTCTCTCACCACGTGTCTCGTGCTCATTGTCTCTGTCTCTCACCACGTGTCTCGTGGCCATTGTCTCTGTCTCTCACCACGTGTCTCGTGCTCATTGTCTCTGTCTCTCACCACGTGTCTCGTCCTCGTGCTGGGTCTGCCTGTCGCTATTTGTCCAAGCGGCCACGGCATCAATCCGTCCATGCTAACCCCGCCTGTCTGTCCGTCACTCGTCGTCCGTCCGCCTTTGTCTTCCTTTGTCCGTATCCCGTCACATCGGGAGACGTCAACCACTACCCCAATGGAAGGACAGACACGGGCACAGATTCCCCCCATCCCCCCTCCATCCCCCATTACCCCTCCCCTTCACCCCCCCTCCATCCCCTCCATCCCCCATTACCCCTCCCCTTCACCCCCCCCTCCATCCCCCATTGCCCCTCCCCTCCATCACCCCCCCCCCCTCCATCCCCCATTATTCCTCTCCTCCACCCCCCTCCATCCCCCATTACCCCTCCCCTTCACCCCCCCTCCATCCCCCATTATTCCTCTCCTCCACCCCCCTCCATCCCCCATTACCCCTCCCCTCAACCCCGCCTCTCCATCCCCCATTACCCCTTCCCTTCACCCCCCCTCCATCCCCCATTACCCCTCCCCTCCACCCACCCTCCATCCCCCATTACCCCTCCCCCCCTCCATCACCCAACACCCCCTCCCCCCCTCCCCATCCAAGTAGCTCATTAGCAACATCTCCCCAGAGACCCTGACGTCGCCATGGCAACACAAAGAGCTCCTACTAATGGACGATTTGGGAGGCACCGCTTATTTATTTATTTGTTTATTTATTTATTTGCTTCTATGCAGCCCGTCGCGTGGCTGCCACGGCGACGGCGATGGTTTCGGGGGGGGGGGTCGCAGGGGTCACGGGGGTCACGGGGGAGGCGGGGGTAGCTGGCTGGCACATTGGGCCTGAGCCGTCACGGGCGAGGTCGTGCGGTTTGAGTTCAAATCCGCGTTCTGGAACGTAACGTGGACAGGGCCACACTCACACAGAGACACATAGACACACACAGAGACACGTAGACTCACACAGAGACACGTAGATACACACAGAGACACATAGATACACACAGAGACACATAGACACACACAGAGATACATAGACACACACAGAGACACATAGACACACACAGAGACACATAGACTCGCACAGAGACCCGTTGACTCGCGCAGAGACACATAGACTCACACAGAGACACATAGACTCACACAGAGACCCATAGACTCACACAGAGACCCATAGACTCACACGGAGACACATAGACACACACAGAGACACATAGGCACACACAGAGACACATAGACAGACACAGATACACATAGACACACACAGAGACGCGTAGACTCACACAGAGACATATAGACTCACACAGAGACACATAGACACACACAGATACACATAGACACATACAGAGACACATAGACACACACAGAGACACGTAGACACACACAGAGACACGTAGACACACACAGAGACACGTAGACTCACACAGAGACACGTAGACACACACAGAGACACGTAGACACACACAGAGACACATAGACACAGAGACTCACACAGAGACCCATAGACTCACACAGAGACACACAGACACATACAGAGACACATAGACTCACACAGAGACACATAGACACACACAGAGACACGTAGACTCACACAGAGACACATAGACACACACAGAGACCCGTTGACTCGCAGAGAGACACATAGACTCACACAGAGACACATAGACACATACAGAGACACATAGACACACACAGAGACACATAGACACACACAGAGACACATAGACTCACACAGAGACACATAGACACACACAGAGACACATAGACACAGAGACTCACACAGAGACCCATAGACTCACACAGAGACACACAGACACATACAGAGACACATAGACTCACACAGAGACACATAGACACACACAGAGACACATAGACACACACAGAGACACATAGACTCACACAGAGACACATAGACACACACACAGACACATAGACACACACAGAGACACATAGACTCACACAGAGACACATAGGCTCACACAGAGACACATAGGCTCACACAGAGACTCATAGACTCACACAGAGACACATAGACACACAGACTCACACAGAGACACATAGACACACACAGAGACACATAGACATACACAGAGACACATAGACACACACAGAGACACATAGGCTCACACAGAGACACATAGACTCACACAGAGACACATAGACACACACAGAGACACAGACACACACAGAGACACATAGACTCACACAGAGACACACAGACACATACAGAGACACATAGACTCACACAGAGACACATATTCACACACAAAGACACGTAGACTCACACAGAGACACATAGACACACA